AGGTGGGAAACATTATTTCCCAAGTTTGGTATTAAATTTGATATCTGAAAAATCTTTTCAGGAATAATTTTATATGCAGTATAATTACTACTTTTTTGTTTAAAGAACATATTTTACATTGCTAAAGGGACCATCTAAAAATTAATAATTTATGCTTAATTTTAAAACAAATTCTAAACATTAAAATTTACAATAATTGACAGATACATCTGTACTACAACAACAGTTGGTCTCTCATAAGTTCTGGTGGTCTTTTTCTTGAAGATAAATGACTAGAAAAATTGGTTAAAATCATCTTAGCTGAGACTGAAGATGAAAGTTAATAAAACCCGACAATAACACTATAATAAAAATGAACTAATTTCCAAAACCTTTATGAAAATCTGTTTGTTGAAAAGAAGTTTCATGTTGTTCTGCAGAACAGCTCTTATAAGATCAAATTGTGAATCCCCAGCCAAACCTCAGCTGTTCCAGAAATACAGATAAAATGCACAAAGCAAAACARTACACTGTGTCTCATCCCTTCTGAAAGTCTTGGTCTATTCATCACAATTCTCGGTATTGCCCACCACTACCAGCTTCTTTTAATCAACTGCTTTACACTCATTCTGGTAATTGCTTGTTATCCATTTCCACACCACTGGCTTATTCATTATTTCCAGCAGAACAATACAGACCTCATTTTATGAAAGTAATTTGTATACAGCACATAACATAATTTGGTTTTAATTTTAATGGAATTTGATTGAAGTTTAATTCAAATTCAAATAATACATTAGAATTTTCCTTTTTAAATGCATTTCAGTAAAAGTGGATTATCTTTTTCTTAATTTCTTTGAAATCACAATAATGTAAAAATAAATTAGAATTAAAAATACTGGAATTGAAAAGTATTGAAAAACATAATTTCATTAGGAAAAATTTGATGTAAAATTAGAAAACAGTGGTGCAGAAACAAACTTCTTACTCTTTCAATACACATTCCAATATTTTTGCATTTCTAGAACAAAAAATACTTTAGAATTATGTAAGTGTAGAAATAGTTGTAAATGGTATTCAGAATTAATTTCATAATAATATTTAACAAGCTTCTTAAAACATTAATTTACAAAAATATATTCAAATTTTAAAAAATTAAAATRCTATCAATTTTAATAGAAATAAGGTATTTCTTAATTTCTGTTTGGGGAAACTTCCATTGTTGATAAAAAGTAAATGTATACTTACCTCTTCTAAATCAGAAATGYTAAAAGTAGCATGTTGTTTTCAAGAACACAGAAGATCAAACTTTTTTTAAATTGTTATGAAAAGAAAATATCTATTATTCACAGTATATTTTTTTATTTACAGCCATTCTAAAATGTATATAGTTTGAAGCATCTCCTTGATTTTTAACTTTAAAACAAATGTTGTAGAATTTGTATTTTCAAAGAACTCTGACAATTCAGAGTAATTTCAGTAATTTCAGCCTCTACAACAAGTTGTTTGTAATATCATCTGTTTTAGCTGGTGTTTACATTTAATCATGTTTGGAAATTTCTTCCTGAAATCACTTAACTTGTACATAAAGAAAATTAAGAAAATTGGTTTAGGTAATTTTAGAGGTTTGTATAGCTTCTTTGTACTTTGGGATACAGAGTCTTCTGACTACCTGATATTCAGATGGGGAGAAAAAATAAAATAGTCACATTATTTTTTTAAAAAAATTCCCTCAACATAGCTCTGAGGAGCATATAAAGGCACATTAATTATGTGGCACTTTTCTGTTATAAATTCATTCCGTTTGACAGCATGAGCATATAATCTCCCATGGCAATGTCGCCTAACAGCACCACACAGAAAGGCAGCTAGAACACTTCTTAAGGACAGAACAATTACATACGCTGCCCAAAAATTTGGGAGAATTTGGGATGAAAAGGTGATCTTGCATTGAACCCTGTTTAGCAGGAGAATGATAAACCAGCACATTTGAGCASAGAGGTAAATGTCAGGGGGCTGCAGAAATCTCTTTTCCACATTCATCCTGAATGTGAGGCTGCATATTTATCTGGCCAAAGGACTCGGTGCCCCTCAGCCCCTCTTTGGGAACAGCACAGTTAACAGAGCCCGACTGGAATTTAAAGATCCAGGGATGTTCAGGGGSTGACAGCAACCAAGGCTTCCCTTCTCCCTCCCAAAAGTGAAGCCTATTGCATGGAAAGTGAGATAATTAATGCCTTTGGAACCTGAGGAAGGTTTTGTACTAAGCTGGTTAAAGCTGCCTAAATATTAGGGGAAGGGAATGGAAAGGGAAAGGGAAAGGGAAAGGGAAAGGGAAAGGGAAAGGGAAAGGGAAAGGGAAAGGGAAAGGGAAAGGGAA